ATCAGACAGATTATTTTTTTATATAAATGGCAATGATATAGAACTTTAACTTACTTATACATATACAGCAACAGAAAAGATATACACGTTTAACTATTAAGAATTTTCAATATTTTACAACAGTTAACTGTGACTTTTGTATCAGGTATTATCCGTAAAAATAAAATCATCCATCGTCAAATTAAATTTCTTGGAAACGGATATTTCTATTGAATAATGGCTATTTATACAAAGTAACATTACTTTTTTGCATTTCCCATTTTATTCTGGGTCGGTGCCAACGGCGCTCTTCTCTTAACGTGTTTCTCCGGAACCTTGTCCTTTGGCAGTGGCACTCCGTTGGAAACGATTCCTCCTTTCCTTTTCCTTAAAGATTCCGTCGGGAGGTATTCAGTCGGTCTTAGCAATTGCCTAAAATTGTAAGGACCGTTAATGTCTTCCGTATCATACTCGGTCTTGGCACTTTCCTGACGCTTCTCAATCACTGTCGGCCTTAAAAGTTGCCTGAGATTAGTCGTGATGTTGAAAGTATCGTTTTGCAGTTGTCCTTGATTCGTTGCTTTTCCATTCGCTAATCGGTTGATACCGTTCTTATGATCCACGTTATTCTGATTATTTTTCATATGATAGCCGTTTTGCTTATGATTCGATCGATCTGACGTCTTTTCTGATTTATTATTTATCAAGCCGTTATTTAACTCAGTTTGTTCAGTATTCAAAATTTTTATTTGACTCTTTGCAACACCGTTATTTATTTTACAGGGAGTCTGAGGATTGTTGATCGATGTGTCATTGATCGATGTGTGATACTCGTTGACGGAATTATGGTGACCGTTAACGAGATTCTGTTCATTGAAGACATTCTGCCGTTCGTTTACGTTTACGGTGTTATATCGATCGTCGATCGTGAGTCGTAGGCCAGGTGGATCGTGGATATGCGGAGAACCGGTTGCACGTTGCCCGTTCGTGTATGATTGCAGGTTCTTGCTACGCAGGTCATTAACCCTTGTACTGGAAAAAATTGATTCCTTTTTGAATTCACCCTTCGAGAAAAAGCTTAAAAGATGACATATTTAAGACAGATTATAATTTTTGTTTCATAAATTGAGACTATAAATTACTTATGAATTACAAAACCGCTAATTGTAAGAAACAGATATCTGTTACAGTAGTGGTAGAAAAAATTTATATCTTTACCTGAAAATTTACCATAATGCCTCTGGCAACATGCGTAAGAAGATAAATGCGAGATTAGTTATTAGATATTTATTAAAATATGATATAAGTTGATTTTCTAATTAGTCATATTAAAAGTATAGCTTGATAGAAAATTTATAAATTACATTATTATAATAAGTAAAAAAAGTTTAGCAAACATAAAGTTTGCTTTATGCTTTATAAACTTTGAATGACAAAAAAAAATCAATTATAACTTAATTCTATAAGTTTTAATTATCAAACTGAACGTATGCAAGTTACTCGCAAGAACATATAAAATCTCGCGTGTTTATTCAATTATATGTAATATTTACCTGACACTTTTCTTGGAGTTCTCGTTTTCGCGTAAATCGGGTGGATGTCTCAGGGCTTTGTGCCAAATGTTTGACAGATGCTGCTCCGGTGCCACTACGAAATTGCTCTGAGCTGTACGGTCCCTCCTCTCGGCATTCACCTCCAGAATATGATCCCTTCGACTCCTATATAAGGATAATCTTGTTTTATATTAATATACGTAGATAAGATCTAACATAGCACATCAACGAACCACTGTTGATTATGAGACGATTATCTTTAAACATGAGCATGTGTAAAAGAAATATACTAGAATCGATGAAGTAGAAAGAAATTTGTAGAAATTCAAATTTTTATTTAATTTGAACAAAATTAACTTTAATGCGTCTTAATCTTTGCTGAAGCTTTAAAAATTGGTTTGGTAAATCTCTTTCTATAATTTCAAGTTTAGGCATGTATTTTACGACCCTCTTTCTTTCTGTAATACGTGAATAGCGGCTGGGAAATACATATATATGTATAGGTATAACTAACGTCAAAATAAATTAGTATAGATACAGTTGACCAATTCTACAGTGTACCTCGACGATGAGTGAAGGTCATTCTCTAGCCGTATCAACGGCAAGTCCCAGCCAACTTCGTCGTCTTCGAATTCCGAACCACTTGCGATGCGAGTGCCAAAAGCATTCGAAAATTAAGTATTTAAGTGTCTGATTCGTTCGCGACATTAATTGTAAGTCAAAGCACAACGCGCTTTGATTTTTATATACCTCTATATATACATATATATATATATCTACCTGCTCATTTCATCCTTCAGATCTTGATAATACTTGACACTGTCTTCCTCATGCGGCTGCGTTCCGCTGCGATACTGCAATATTGACTGCACCATGTTAAATCCTTCAGGACGAACGTAATCGAGTGGCGGCTCCTCGATATCGCTCAATCTGATACCTGGTTTGTTGCGACGGAGATTTTTATGTACCTCCTGGTTCTTCATATGTACCTATGAATAGAAAGTCCGCTAATAACTTAATTAAATTAATAGTCGACAATCGTTAGTACGGTTTCTTCATAACACTAAATAAAAAGATTAGAATTGAACTTGAGTAAAAAGAAATAAAATATTTTTTAGTATTAATTTTAGAACTAAATAATTCTTATTTACATTTTGAGAAAATTGAATTAGATCTGCTTGCCGTAGCTTAGGATGTACGGGATCCTTCGCAGCTGGTTTCTTTCTGACTAGTTTCTCTTCTTTTTTGTACCATCTTTGAACAATAAGAGCTGCATCTTCATGTTTTAGCCCTTCGCGCAACAGTGCCTTATGACCATCATATATGTTGTCATAATTGTTCAAAATCCTTTTAAAACGCTCCTCCAGCTCGTATCCAAATCGTTTACGAATAGTGTAACCTCGGAAATCTATAAAAGTTTAGTTATGTAGTACAATATTCTCGGCCGTTTCTCAATTACAGGTGGTACAACAAAAATTACAATTTTTATACGTACGACTTTGTATGGCAGTCGCGGCGTCGTTCTTTTCTAAATGTTTACGTATTTGTCGTTGTTTCTCGCGATTATTTATATCCGTATTTTCTTGCGCTCTACGTTTCACTTCATCTATGAAAATATGAAAATAAATGAGGATACATAATGATGGAGTTGTTTAGAAAATTTCTTGCCAAAGTTTGAATAGAACTCACTCAGCATAAAATCGAGCGTTTCATTTTCGTCTTTCGCACGTTTTTGAGCCAATAATTCTCCCGTGTGTTTTCGGGACAACCATCCTCGAATATGACGCTGTAATGTGACCACTGATACAGCGAATTGCCATTTTTGCTTCTTAAATCTCATTTTCGCGAGCCATCGTCGAACACACGCTTGGACCATAATTATTTTCCTCAGTTGTTCTTCGTACAGTTTTGAGAGAAATTCGACGTGATAGTACTTCAGGAAAACTTTTGTCTTGCCTAACGCCCATCCATCCATTTTTAACCGTAATAAAAGAAGCCGACAATTATCCCGATTGGCAATTACACGTTCGTCGTAGCCAAAAGCAAGGAAGCAATATCTGTATAGTTTATAGATTTGTACAATTGATAAAAGTTAAATGAGAAGATATTTCGCATTTTTCCACGTTTGTAATTGTAGCCAATCTGAAAATACCTTTTCAGAAATTCGTTGAACGGTATTCTATGAGAAAATCCATTTTGTCTTATACGTATCGTTTCGAGGACACCGGTATACCTCAACTGCTTTACAACTTTGTCTTTGTCGAAAAAACGTGAACTTCTTGAGTCATTTGGTTTTATACATCGAACGAACTGAGGTGAACCGGACACCATTTTTTGTAATAGATCCATCAGAGAATACCGGAAATATGTCGCTACTGTCTGCTGAACTCTCGATTGTGATGCTAAACCTCGACTAGAATAACGTTCCTGCGAGATATTTAAATGCCGTTAAAACCTTATTAAAAAAGAAAATGAAAAAAATATACAGAATATAAATTTAATACATACATACCTTTGTGTTTTGGTTTGATTGTGATTTTCTCGAATCATTTTCTTGTAATGCCGAGTATAAATTACCGGTTTTTGTGATCGGGCATTGGAACAGGAAACGAACCATATCGTATTGCGACTGTCGTACCAGTTGAATAACTTCGGGTGGCAGAAAGTTTCTGTTCTTCTCAAGAAATCCTTCAGCTTGATAGACAACACGACCAGCAAAATGATATATCGCGAAACAGACTGCATCCGATTTTGGGCGTACGTAGAATTTTGATTTAATATTGTTGTGGAATTTCTCTGCCAAGAAGTATCAAAGTAATTAACAATATATAAATGACTTGCACAAATGTTTACGCACTACTTAAAATCGCGGTGAGTTTAAGTGAAGAATTGTATATATAATGATTAGCTTAATCGTTATCAAGTGAAGAAGTTTACTAAAATTTTATTTATTATAAAAAAAGTAAACTCTGAAACGTTTCGACAGTGATGACAGTGATAACATGCTGAAAGAAAGCAGCGTGTGCAGTGCAAACATACATTTATAGAATAACGCATTTAGAATGCTTACCGATCAGAGATCGATTGGTCGCTCTGGGAAATCGACTTTCTTCGTCGAGGAGCGCCAGGAGTCCCATGGGCTTGCTTAGTAACATATCGAGAACCGGCCTATTGTCGGAAAATTCGACGAGATCCACGGGTATTCCCTCGGCCATATATTCCTGTTGCTCCCAAGTGAAGATGTGCTGGTTGAAGTAGTACTGTATCTGCTCGTTAGCTATGTTGATGCAGAGTTGTTCGAACGAGTTTCTGGGAAAGTTCTCGAAGCCGAAGATGTCGAGCAGCCCGATTGCCAGCGGCTCGTAATTCGGTGAGCGGCTGAAGCACAGCAAACAATTGATCTGGTTGACCATCCAATCGAAGAGCCGACCATAGAGACCTTTGGCCATTGCATCACGAGCCGCACGAGCTTCGGCTACCGTATTGTTCCGCGTAATTGTCTCGCCTCTAGTCATCACTGAGTTTGATGTCAGGGCCTCTAGGAGATCGTTCTGTTCGACGCCGAGTAGTTTCGAAACTGAAAACGAAGCATTTCTATAATAATGGCACGCGATTGACTGTGATATTTTTATGGAGATTTATTTATGATGTGCAATGTAAATACGAGTTTTATTAGTTAGTTAACTGATTATATATAATATATAAAATCATAATTGATTCTAATAATAGTCTAATAATTATACTAAACTACTGTAACAGATATAAAGTGGACAAGAAAAATCTTACCTCTACGTAATGGAATGGTATCGATGACTCTGCTTTTATTGTCGGTGTTGTCTTGTGTTGCTACTTCGGCGAATTCAATGTCACCCAAATGGAGGATAGCGGCTAAAACCCGATACACCGTGTCTACCTCGCTGTCCTGAAATCCGAGTACCTTGAAACCCATTTTGAGCTGCTGGAACTTGTCAATGTGCGTCTGCGACGTGTGACTATAATGCGTGAGATATCGATGATATCTCCGAAGCGTAGGGTCGAGATAATATTCCGAGAGGCGGTCGTCTGCCTCCAGGCCATCGTACATATAATAGAAAATGTGAAAGTTTCGTTCACCTCTGAAAAGTAGCAGAATTTGTTGTTTTTAGGTTGTTAATTAATTTTGTGTGTATATTATAAATCTCTGAGAACGTACTCGGCTTGAGCAATCACTCGTGATTGTTCCAATAGATATACCGAGATTCGCGCACCGGTCACTTTTCCGCCTTTTGTCATCGTTAGATCCAAGTACTTTCCGAATCTGGAGGAGTTCGCGTTGATTCCGGTCGTGGCGTTTCCGAAAGCTTCCATTATAGGATTTATTTGAAGTATTCTCTCCTCTAGGTTACGATTCGGCGCCTTGCTGAGATAGACAAGTTGTTTCAGTAGTAAATTTGCGCTTTCCGTCTTTCCGGCACCTGATTCGCCGCTGATGACTATCGCTTGGTTTTGACGTTGATGTAATAGAGCTTGATACGCGGCATCGGCAACCGCAAATATATGCGGGGGGTTATCCGATCTCGCTTGTCCCTTGTACCGTTTTTGTTCCTAAATAATAAATTATTGTAATAATTATAACGTTTTATATTTTATTAACCATTTATTGCATTAATTGTTTATACAATAAATAATTCATATGTGTTGTGGAATACTCTCTTTCTTTCTCTCTCTCTCTCTCTCTCTCTCTCTCTCTCTTTCTCTCTCTCTCTTTTTCTCTCTAATACAACAATTTATCTAATAATTAATATAAATAAAATACTTACGATACCGGTGTATAAACCTAGATTGGTAAAAGGATTAACGGCAACCAATATATCTCCGATATATGTGTATATCTGCGCTTGCTCATATCGGTGCTGCAATTGATCGACAATAGCCTCTTCCGATAGCATATCGAGAGCTGCCAGATCATCCATGTACATTTTCTCTGGTCTCGTCTTGCGGTCCGTCTTCAATTTGCCATGTTTCGTAGTCACTTCCGGTTGCCGGTGAACGCGACCTTCCGCTCTCTGTCTACAAATCTCCTCTCTCAGTCGCTCTCTGATTTTCTCGACGATTGGTTCCACCTTTGTCAATAATGGATGCTCTCTCAATTCGCCGGCGAACGGCCGATGCTCCAAATCCTTCACCAAGCATTCGGCTATGAAATCTGTCAGTTCCGACGAATACATATCCGGATTCTTCAAGGAAGGGGGAGGATTTCTTGGAATTTGAAAAAGTGCTCGCATGGGATGCAATTCCGACAGGGGAGGATCACCCTCGGCTAACTCGATAGCGGTAATGCCGATCGACCAGACATCGCAGCGCGAATCGTACGAGGAGTCCAATTGTTGCTCGCAAGCTATTACCTGTTTTGCAACATGACCGAAGGATACGAGTTGTATTTTAAAATTATGTGTGTGAAATAGCTGATGAATATTCGAAATTATACGAGATATATATATCATATGCACAAGATTTGTTTTCCTCAACTGACCTGAGGCAAATAGATTGCTGGAATTGCCATATTTCATTTTCGCGTCGCTTTTATTTATTATAAAATTTTTGCTTCTAAAGGCATCGAAATATCTTAGGCAAACTCACCTCTGGTGCCATCCAATATGGTGTTCCGACAGATGTGTTCTTCCTGGCGAGAGTGGCGACCAAATGCGAGGATACGCCGAAATCGACCAATTTGACACGCGCTTCTTCCGTGAGAAGGATATTATGACCTTTCACGTCGCGATGCATACAGTGATTACTGTGCAGAAAGATCAGAGCTTCGACAGTCTCCTTCAAGATATAAGCTATTTGGTCATCCGTTAGGCGACTGCCACGTTTTTTAAGACCCTGCACGAGATCGGTCACGGAGCCTCCAGTGCACAACTGGAACCGGAGCAATTAACTTTTTACATACCCCGATTCCGTTTATTCCATAGAAGACCGACAAATTAATATACGTGGGAATTGCAGAAAAGCAACAAAATTGTATAAAAATTTCGAATTATTAGAAAGTATGATATTTTCTTAATTGATTCTTGCTTTCTCTTTGATGGAAGATATTTATAGAATCCAATAGAATAAATAACAGCTTTTACGAAGCATCGGTTAACTTGTTACAATTAATTATATACAAGTAATCTTAACGACTTTACTTCTTTAATTTTTTTTATTGGAATTAAATTTATGCGCCGTATTTATTTTCTTTTTCGTGAATTTGAAATTTAATGACGGTACCTCCATCACAAACCATAATTGATCCTCTTCCTGACCAGGCTTTGCTCGCTTTAGAAATAAACCATAAAAGAGAGGAATATTTGGGTGTTGACTTAAATCTCTCAGCACCAAATATTCCTCTTCAATCTCCTCGATATTATCAGCGACATTCTCCATTATTTTGATGGCTACTTTGTTGCCAGTTTCTTTATCATATGCTGCGTACACTTCGCCATATGTACCCTCGCCGATCAATTCTTCCAATTGAAAACGCTCGCCTGGATCCGGTATCACATCGAAATTGACATGTTGACTGAGGCCGTGATACGCCATGTTAGTCCCGCCTCCGGTCATTTCTATAGACATAATCGATGCAAACGGTGTTAGAATCTTGTCAAATAACATGATTACGCTAGTGTGAAGTCTACCAAACAGAATAATATAAATTGCTCTCGCTTTCCTCTCGCTTTCGAATGTTGAAAATTGTAACATTGAAGTTGTGATTAGTTCGAGATTCTAATTAAATGGGGCAGCAGCGTTTAGAATATCTTAATAATAATCTTGTTAACTTAATAATTAATCTCGTTACTTCAAGGATTACTTACGCAATGACATTTCCATCTATCGTTTTTTATGGAGCACGGGACACTTTTTGCAAAAGTTAAAGCGCATTAGAGCAAGTTTTATCGCAGTTACTCTCCGTGATAATAGTATAGAGTATAGTATAGCTTTTATTGAAGTAATTTTATTGATCGATTATTCTTTTATATGTTTTCCTTTTCCCTCAAAAGTTTGAAATCAGTTACAAATTTTGATACTTTATTGGACCGGAGAAGCATCAATGAACGTTGTTAGCTCCATTGGCTGCGACACACTACTGGGAACGTTCGTTTTCCAACTGGTTATCTCTTAACTCCTTAATAGTATTAGTTCAAGTATTATAGGTCTATATCGGTTAGACCGGCGCACTTTTGCTTCGTCTCAGATATAGGTCTGCCAAGAAAGAGATGCGCCCCGTTTAACTTTAAGTTTCTTTCGTGACTGTACATTGAAGGACTGGTCGTGAGAATCATTAAATAGTGCATTCGTGCAGTACACAATACGAAAATCAATTCGTGCGAATGTACAGAGAAAGCTATGATATTAAAAGCATTAAATTCTATTCTGTTATGTGCACATATTTTTCCCTTGTATATTTAATCCGTGCATTAAAATTTTTTACGATTAATGAGATTTACTGTGATATATTTTGTCAATTAAAAAGTAAATATTATCTTGGTGTTTTCGATATAATACATGACAGAGATTATTTCATCTTGTGGCAATCATGAAACAAATATTATGAGGCTTAATCGTTGTATTCTTGTCGTATATATTTTATTCCAATAATTCGCTTTGTTATCAATATCCATTTTTTTCATAACGAGGACATGTATTTTGACCAATATTGACTTTATATTGGAAGTCTTATCCAACTGAGTGAAGCCATGTATCAAGAACAATAAGCTTAGCAGTGGCTTCAAGCAACGTTTCATTGCAAGATATTGAATGTGCGAGATGCAAGAAAAACAGTAAATACAATAATTGAAACTGTCATATAAACTATGTTCTCTTTCCCAGTTTCATTTTCTTTAGCAAGAGAGATTATTTGATAATTTATAAGCCTGATATCTCTAGATAAAGTGATCAATCGAAACTATTCAGATACTCTCTCGATTATTGTAGGAAGCGATTTTACTCGATGTTCGTTCGTGCATATCGGCGAAAGGATTTCTCTCCAAGTGTTTTGCAGCCCGCCTCCTTACTAATTTTCGATGCGTTTAATTTCACTGGGCATGCAGATTGAATTCGTAGCGTGACTGACAAGAATGTGCTTTAATTGAACATAAAACATCGGATATTAAACCATCTTTCTGTTGAAATTCTAATCAGTAATGGTGATCACAATTGACAATGATTGCCAATAGATGATTAATGATTAACAATTGAATTAATTGAATAATACCTAGAAACTATGTTGAATAACGAAAAATTGGGATATATAAAATTGCATTTTTGAAGTGCATGTTTGAATAATATTTAAGTGTTGCTAATATACTAATAATGCAACTTACAAGGTCCTTTTATTAAAGATTTTATTATGCAAAATTATGCACGCTGAATATGTAGGTATATAATTACTCACTGCGTGAGTAAAATGATGGGAATCGTGTCAAAAGCACATTTATTTACTTATTGTTTGCATGTGCGAGAGTCTTCGCGCATAATTATAACGATTATACTGGAACTCTACGAGATTGTTAGTAAATACCTATACCGTAACAACGGTTTTTACACGCAAAAGTGTAAACCCTTCCATCTCTTGTACTAAAAATAATGCGTGCAACCGCAAACACGCGTTAATCGAATTAAGATATATATATGTCATATTAAATGATCATTTCTACGTCGAATTTATAATAAGGCTATAGCTTCTGCATCATTGATTAAGATAATTAGGAAGTTTCAATGCGTTAAATTGTCTTAATTACTGAATTTCTTTGAAACGTGATAATAGCGCTCTTGTTAGTAAACAGCATTTTCTTTTCTAATATTGAAAGTTTTAAAAACCATAGCCTGTCGGCTAAAATCGTAAAATAAATAATATGTAATATCGTAGACGTTAATATTTGAAGCGAAAGTAGTGAAACTCTCTTAGTAGTTATCTTGACGGTCAAAGAACCAATAATTATTATTCCATGAACTAAACTAAACCATTTTTAACATAACATTTTAAGAAAACGTTTTGTATAAGAAAGTTAAATAAATAACATAGCGTTTATTATATTAATTTAATAATTTTTCCAAGATCTTGCGTAAATAATTTCTTAGCCAAACATACAGTAAGTAATTCCTCTATTTCTATAAGTTTTGTTTGCTAGAAATCAGATCGATTTATAGAACTGATCTGATTTTTTCGAAGAATGAAGAAACGATATACAAATTGAAAGTTAAAATTTATTTAATCGCGCTAGATACTTTTGTAATTTATAATGATCGGTTATATTCATGTGCGTTCTTCATGCTGTTTCTTTATCTATTTATTTCACAGATCGATGCTTTCTGCTGCGGACATTTTACTGCAATTTCTACGAAAGCATTGTCATTTAGCGTTGATTGTTGAAAGGTTCTCATCGCTGAAAATCACGAGACATTTCACCGCGAAAATGCGCGATCGCGTTTCAATCTCACGGTTCGATACCTTTGGCAAAGGTATCAATTGCTCAGCAATAGCCAATCGTATACCCTCGATCACGTGTTCGCCGAGAGTATTAGAGCGAAGAAACCCGACGCGCGACGTGAAATCGGCTTAAGGGTTCAGCTGCAGAGATGTCCTGCTGCTTTGGACAGTACTTGTGACTGAAAGACGCAATACGTATACGTGATGTTTAAACTACGAATGTAACGATTTCTTATGCTATCTGGACGAAAATTTCATCGATTAATTGCATGATAGAAGTTATTTTCCTCATTGTACATATCGTATTATAATATTTTAGCGAGAGAAAGAGAGAGAGGGAGAATATATGTATACATATATATATTCTTAAATTCTTTTTTGAAAACATAAAAGTGATAAAATTTATGTCATTGTACGGTGACAAAATTATTCTTAAGCAGAAAAGTCTTTTCACATTGCAATAATTTAACATGGAATGGATAATAAAGTCTTTAATTATCGCGTTTCAGCGGCCAACAGGGTAATTATTATGTATTTCTGGGAGGCTCTGCGCAAACAATGCTTGCTCGTGTTTGTCCACGATGAAATAATTACTCGAAAGCAAAGAGTGTCGCGCGGACGACTTCCCATTTTCACCTTACGACTTTTATGTAGCCATTAATTTATGTTCCAACTTTTTACTCTACAAATTATCAATTGGGCTAGGAATACCGATCCATTATGATGTCTTCGGTGAGGAATTACGATTCGGTCGTCGGGCACAACTTTGGTAAGAATTTGATGTTATCTTAAATTCACGAATGTTCTGATAACGTATCGCGTGAATTAATTCAATAAATTAATAGATTTGATAAGAAACATAAAAGCAAAATGTCGGGTATATTTCAAAGGTTAAGTATTTGTAGTTCCGCTTTCGTGATTCGCATTAATACCTTACCAATAAATCGTTCGGCTGATAGCGCACCATCGGAGAAAAGGAAAAACACAAGAGAAAAAGGAAGAGAACGAGAGAAGCGAATTTTTACTCACGGCGTAATTTCTCCGGTTTGCTTTTAGCGCGGTCGTATGTCAAACTGTTCGGTACGTAAAAAGATGGGAGCTTTTCCCGATTGTATATATGTTGCCAGCCGCGGTTCCGCTGGTTTAATCTTTTCAGCGTGACGACGTAACGGTACAGTGCGTGCCATCAATGACTATGCTGCGTCAACCGACACTCCTGCGCGTAACGTCGTGTACGGGACTGCGCAATGTCGCCAAACTCGTGCTCGATATCATATGTTAATCACACTGAATAAAATGAGACTAAATTATACAAATCGCGAACAATACAGTGTGATGCACTCGCGAAATATGTTTCGGTATTCGCGCGTTTCGAATCTCTTTACCTTGGAGAAGAACAGAATTAAACTTTAGTCAATCCACTACGGGATTCATTCGCGTTAATACATACAAAAATACATATTTAATAAATATTAAACTATAAATATATTATATATTATACGATGAGAGTATGTAAAAAATAAGCTGACAGTATAATCGTGCAAAAGTTCCCGAATAAGAAGACTTTTATCTTTCGATACAATAAGTTCTCGTTGTGAGACGAGGAATTCGATCGTAAATTGCTGCAGTTTCTAAAAGCAATCCCGTTTGATTTACTTGTAATAGCATTTTACTGCTCCTGTACTTAATTTGAATTGTTTTCAATAATTCTTGATGATATTATATGTCTCTTTGCTATTCTCACAATCAGTTAAATGACAAAAATATATTGGATTAAATTTTTGACATCGTTTTTTATTCACAATATTAGACTAAAGAATCGAAATTCTGTTTGCTTCTATAGAAATTAGATCGCCTAGAATATCTTATAGTACATATTCAACGAGCCATTGCTGGGAAAATCTTTTAAAGGAGGTGAATGGCAAGATAGATGAGCGCAGTTTCTTTTAACGATCGAAATTTTCAAACGAACCACGAAGCGTCGCTCTATTAACTATGCATTCGTCATCCTTGAAACCTTTGGTAAGAAAATCGAATTGTGAGCAGAGGAGTTTGCGCGACTTGCGACGAAATGTTTTGCGCTATAAAAGAGTTGTGTAACAGAGTATATAGCGAACCGTGGAAGTAATTGCCGCCTTTTCTATGAGCCAAAACACAGTACGTGTAATCCAGCCTCTTTGTATGTAAATGAAGTAGCAGTATTTGCGACACAAAGCTGCGCTGCCTACCTATAAGAGCTGTTGCTTGAAGGAAAAGGTACGCGTAACATCAAGATACGAGTATACACGAAAGTATAATCGACATTTAACTGCTTCGCTGAACGATGCGATCATTATACGGACAATGAAAGAAAGGATAGGAGAACGTACTTTTAAGCTTGTAGGCATTGTCATCTTATAATATTGTTATTTGTCAGCCACCTTCGCACTTTGATTACATATATGAGAGAGGAAGCAAGACGTATATTTTATTTCGTTTTGCCATACGACGTGACGTGAGAAATTTTTTATAAAGATATAATTGCCAGTGAAACACATATATGTTTCATATTTAGTAATGTGTGAAATAAACATGGGAAAAAATTCACGAAAGAGAGTTAAGAATTGATTTTCAGAGTTTACGATCTCGCTGGGAGCTTGTATTATACTTGATGCTCTTTGTTTCATTAAAAATAAGTTTTATAAGGAAGGACGTGCGATACATTCGTGTATTGTATATAAGGCTCAACTTCTGTAGTCTTTCGCAATCATAAATTCCAGTTAGCATTGTCGCTTCGAAAACGGAACCATTTGAATCATGGAATGGTACACTAAAAAGTGACTCTCACTTGACATACAATAGACTTGAAACGGTTATAAGTCAAGTCAGGACGGACAAAGAAGGATATTTCCATGTCGGGGAAAACTGCGAAGAGGGCAAGAAGAGTGAGGGAGTAATTAGTTTTAGAAGAAAGTTAAACGATATCCGCGGAGGAGGCAGAGGTAGCAATCATCAAGAATATTCAGAGCCGAACGGCCATGTCATAGATTATTGACTTCAGTTTCTTTTCTTCGTGCTTTACATCTTTTTCTTATCGTTTATTAAAATGTGTGTTAATACTTTTCAAAACTAAAAAAAATTCCTGGTTTGCCGATCCTTGAGTTGTCGATATCAAAATCATAAGAATTTACGTTTCAAATGAGTTTTAACGGTTCGACGATATAAATGCAATAATATTATAAGAGTAGTATAGTTGTTTTCAAAACAACTGTGGGCTTTGTATAATTAATTTAAAAAACATAACTACTTTTATTTAGAAATTTATTTATCTTGAATTTTTCTATTTTCTAATGACATTTTACGTAACGTTAAATTCGCAATTATGAAATTATTTTGCAAAAATTGATGAGATCTCGGCAGCGAAATCAATCTTGTCGAGGAAATGGAAATGCACTTCCCGAGTGCAACGGTGCGCGAGAAAAAAGTCATGTAACAGTATCCGCTGTTACATTGTACCGTACTGAATACTATTATTTTTACGATGCGTTTGTGCTCCTCCTTTCATAACGCATGTAGAGAAAGTAACGAAAAATCTTATGTGGAAGTTTGCATACAGTCGAACAAATACGCAAACAATATTAAGATAAAAAGCGTAAAACGATTTACGAAAGAAAGAAAAAATGAGTCAAGAGCACAACTGATTGTGAGAATAGTTACTTCTCGCATGATTGTATGGCGAAATCATTTCCTACTGCTAAAACGGTCGAATTGCTTTCTTTTCATACTTCCTTTGACGCAATCATTTCCTTACAATTGCAATGAGAACGCGTTTCATAAATCTCCTTCCTGACCTTTGTGACGCGTTTTGCATCAGAAAAACGTCCCGTATACGTCTATATAGCATTACATTTAGATTTGGAATAAACTATTACATCAGGCCCATACCTAAATAGAAAATATCATCAAGATATAATGCAAGTTTTATTAATTTTCTTCCAAAAGTATTTTCAAACTTAATCAATATTAAGCATGTAGTTTTATCATACTTATATCGTTTTTATTAATTTCATTTTTACTATGATCGCAAGTTAATATTCAGAGGAAAATTATTATGAATAAAGAAAAATAATGGGACATACTTAATTTTCCTCTGAATATTAAATTATCTTTATCTATCTGAGAACACGGGAAAGCAATAATTATGTATAAATTCTGTGTACATGGTGATAATTATGGATTTAGACGTACTACGACGAGGATATTGCTTCCTCGAAAGTTGCTCACATAACTCGTATGTAACAGATATTTGATTAGCCGTGTTACCGGCGCTACGTGCGGATGTGTTTGGTAAAGTACGCTTCGCTCGGTTCATTTAATTATCTACCTATATATGTATCCTATAATCTTGATTATGCGTGCGGATACGCGACACTTATGAAAGTAGAAAAATTTCGTTCACATCGTGTAATTAAAGATATATTGATCAAGAAATATCATTAAAACTGAACACGATTAAAACGGAGCGTTTTATGCGTGTGTGTAAGAAAACTAACGCAGGTACAAGAATTCTAGATAGATTGGAAAACGACCTTGAAGAATCACGTAATAGATGCGACTGACGGTAGTGTAGACTGATGACCAGACGAATAGAGCGAACATATATGTTTTGCTCTCGGGTGTGACGGAAGATCCTCTCTCATGATTTACGAACTCGCGTGACCACTGTTCATATAACTGGTTTTCATCGATTATTACCACCTTCGTACTACATGTGGATATATTGATGTTACTGTATACGGCAAGTTGCCGAGAAAGTTTTCGAGCGTTGCGATGCCCTTCGCCGTGAGCAATCTTACGTTCCAAAAAGTTGTCCATGACTTTCCTTACGCGTCGAATTCAAGGTGCAGTGTTCAGCATACATCTCGCTTAAGGGGACACGTGATTTCTCCAAATTTGCAATCCACACGTCGTAAAATGAATAGAAATTCGGTTTGCAAGAAACAAATGTCCAAGTGTTCTTATAATATGATTTTTTAGATCGTTGTCTTATCAGTGTTAAAATAAACTTTTGTGATTCATTGTTATTAGTCATTACTAACGAAAACAGTGTTATAATACTTCAATAAGAATTCCTGATAAAAGAGTCTGAATCGATAATTCCTTCTTCATTATCTAATATAACGTTAAACCGCGTTTCTCGTGACTGATAATTCTCTTTTTATTGAAATATATTTTCAATATCCATATAACAATGGACTTGGCAATGCATAAGGTTTTTTGCATAAATATTTTTCTAGCATTAGAAATATGTTTTTATATTATTTAATTGAATATAATTTATAATTGCTAATATATTATAAAACTTGTGATATAAAGTAGAGTAGTAGTATATATAGAATATAATGTTCTCATGTATAATTCAATAGTAATTATGCATAGTATGTGAATAATTAATTGTGATATAATTAGTACTATTGAAAATAGATGGCGTACGCACTGCTACAAAATAATTAATTGAATAATCTGATTGTTTAATTTGATAATCAGATACTATATGATTATACGCATTACGCTAGGTTATTTATGTATTGCTGAGAATTAAGATGTAATATTTAGCTTCAATCTTTACACTATTTTTATCTTTATGCGAAACGCTATTTACAAAAACAATAAGCTTGTAATTTAAACGAATATATACTTACAATATGATATATAAATATATAGAGTTATCTCACACGCAACTTATGATTTTAATTTCAATGAGAGACTTTCGGATAAACTTTCTGATCAACTTGGAATTGATTTTTTTAAGCGAAGATATTGACGGAGAGCATTACTTATCGAAACTTCTTAATTTTATAGCTCGCAAAAGTCCTTTCTTTTTCAATCGCTTATAACTCAGAAGTTATCAACATGTACTTCGTATACACATAACACGTGTACACGCGCTTCTACATCTATGAACTGTTTTTACACACATTTATACACAGGAAATAGTTATTGAGATTATAATTTATAGTAACAAATATTGTTCTGACGATTATCACGTGATTTTTATTATTATCGTCAGACTACCATAAAATAATTTATGCACAAATATATCCCAGATTTTTTAAATAATCACTGACGTTGCAGAGTAATTTGTACATTATATATTAGATCAATTTGTAGAATATATACTACATATTATTATATCACTATACATCACTAATAAGAATTATTCACATATTTATTACCTGAGTTAATATTGCACGTTGTATGACTTTTTAACTAACGTAGTATAAATCTATAAGAAAAATACACAATATTATCTGAATTGTGGTTGACATTACTCACGTATTCCGGTGACACAATCTTTAATTGTAAGTAGAAAAAGATAGAGCTCTTCAGTCAGTTGTGATGAGAACACGAAAAATAAATGATGCACACGCGAGAAATTGTCGCAACGCAGTAATGGTCGACGGACCAAGTTGTAAATTCACTCGCGTGTCAAGTATATAGAGATAGTCGCGTTGGAATCGTCGAGTTCACCACGGTACTTCGCGGCTACCGACTGCTTGACTAGCTGATTGTAAAATGCTGTGGAACAGTATCAACTGGCGAAGAGCGCGGCTGCACGAGTGGCGCGTGGTGCCGCGTCTTCAACGTGACGCCGCGCCGCGCCGGTCGTATTCGAAGGAAACCGCGTTGGCAACCCCTCTCCATTCCGCTCCATCGTAGGTCTTCGTTCGCTTCGCGATTCTTCTCTCTTCCGGGAGTAGTTGGGTCATTTCTCATCGCAATCCTTTTCGCAGCCAACAATCGCCATGCGTCAAGCCCCGATCGAATCGATTCGCTGAAATCGTCTTTGGAATTCATTACTTCTTCACAGTAGATTTATCCTTAATATTTTATCAAATTTGTCACTGTTGAAAATTTTTTATACGGTCTTTATGTACGCAAAGTTTTTCTGATTAGTTGTATTTTCTTCGTCAGCGCGTTTGTCAGCGCGTTTGTCAGCGCGAAGTGGATATAAAAATAAGATTAGAAGTGCATATGTGTGTATCCTAATGTGTATATATGGAATAATCGAAAGTTTCTCATGAAAAATCGGTACGCCTATTCGTCGTTAAACAACTGAGAGTATGAAGAATTAGAATTGACGTATATCTTCAGAGAGGATCACAGAAATGATCGCATAACGTTCATCAATCATTAAGGAAAGTGTTGCCCGACTGATTAGGCATCGTTCGCATAATACAACTGAGAACAGACTTGGAGTATTCATTCTCACTTCGATTTATGCTTCCCTCATCATCTTGTCTTCCAATACATCTATCACAGATGCTCATTATGATCGTATCGGTCAATCTTGAGATTAGCTTTCACTGATTCATTATTTTTTACGTTATGGTACTTATATTATGATCAGCATGGGATCAATACGTATATATGTGTGATCGTATTATTAAACGATAGCATTAATTTAGATTGAATGATCCATTTTGCCGTCGCATTTTGCCGTCTATCAATTTATATTTTCTGGTTTTTGTCCTCACGTTGGTTTAACAGTTCCGTTCTTACTGTTATTCTCTTTGTTATTATCCAATTCCAGAAAATTACGTTTAATTGTAACGCGGATGCACGTAACGGACATTTTATTGTGTAATATCTGGCACAATTATAGTCTTTGTAAATAATGAAAAGGCCTTAGAATGACGGTGGTGTTCGAAGTTTTTCATTACGGAATTCTTTGCTACTTTCTACCACTACGTGCATGGGAATAAAGGCGATTCTTTTCTTAGTGATGATGTTACAGCAACTAAAGACTAATCGAATACCTGCGCAAGTATTATCGATTAGTCGATGCTTGATCGAGCTTTCAGTTACAGCGACGTCGTTAACGCAATAAGCTCTCATTATTCACTTACGGTCGAAATATTCCTCTCACCAGCATTTTTTTAAAGGTCGCGCGAACGGCGGATGTGCGTTCATGGAAGCGTAGAAGCGCGGCCGATAAGCGAGATAACGTTCCTCTAGCTCGACGTCACAGTCGGATAAGTCGGAGCTCAACGATGCGCGATAAGTACTCGCTTTACTCGTCGTACTTCTCTCGCTGACGTTCCCAGCTCGACATATCTACGTGTTCGCAGATAACGAGCGTATGAATATATAGGCTGAGTTGCAGAAAGCGACTATCTACTACTAATGATTCAACCGAGAATCAAACAGTATACTTATATTTATACTCGCATGATCGACGTTTTGATAACATTTTTAGAACGCCACTTTATAAGTGAATGACATTTTGGTCTCATATCAGCAGGAAGATATTAAAACGGTTACTGATGTTTAAGATTATTACCGTGTTATGCCACATACAGTGTGCTAGAAACTAGATGAAATTTAGTACATGTTTACAAAGTTAGTTAATAACAATGCCTTTATGCGTTTATGCGTTTAGAGGATCTATAACGTAGTTTCGAATGTTCACACACAAACAAGTAACTTTTCGTATGAATAGACGGCAAATTTAAGACATTAAACTACTCACACTGATTAACGCTGATTGTAATTAATTAGTTAAATCATCTTTGCCCATCTGTTATATAGCCAAAACTACAAAGACAGAAAATAAATTAAACTGATTAGAATTGACCAACATTAGCAGATTCGTTTAGTTTTAGTATACTATTTTTAATTATTTATTACAATGAAGTGTATATATGTATATGTACGTGTGCATCAATAATTTTTTATTTTTACCTATAATTACTTATTGGAAAACGAGCTTTTCATGTATGAACAAACATGGACAAGTAAACGCTGCAACTATATTCTTTAAATAATTTTAAGTAGACTTTTATATAAAATATATTTTATTTTAATGACTAAACTTAAAATTGAAAATTTGAAGCTTAATTACAAAGATATATGATACTGGAAATTCCGATAAGTAAATGATGTCCATCAATGTTTTTGCGAAGAAAAAATTGATTTTAATCAAATTCAGAGAATTGTCCATAGAACAAGAATCGTGAAATCCGAGATATTCTATATCTGTCTAAACAATTTGATCTAAAATTAAAGTTTTAAGATTAAAGTTTCAAAATTAAAAACAGAACAGAAATCATTGTACGTGTTAAATTTAACAAATTTTACGTGTTGATTATACGTATACATATATATATCTCGATATCTTACGGATTGCTGGTACTACAGTATATACATACTAACCAACGAATGATAATATTATTTCAAAGAGATTCTGTCAATTAATATTGTACAGCACGTGAAGGTGGCGTAATTATTGCATAATGTTTGATGATTTTAAAAAGTATTAATATTAATATACACAAGTTTTTTTTCAATATATTTTTAAATATATTTTTTAATATATTTTTATTTGAATATAATTTTTTTTAAATAGATTTCAACAATGCTAAATAATTTAGATATTTTTTATATAAAAAACTTGTTCTTTTATATTGCTTATCGGTAATATAATGTTATTGATTTTTTCTGGGTATTCTGCTAAAGATATTTTGCGTTTATTAGATGGAGCAAGGAGTCTGTGAAACATGTATAAGAGTTTACAGAAATCTATTTTATCACAAACCGAGAAGTTTCCAAAAAGTGTGCATGTTTTAAAATTAACATATTAGTATACAATATAGCCTCTTTAATTTTTTTTATATTTTCTGATGTTTATTATATAATGACAACATCATGCATGCTTATTACATGTGTCATATATGCTGTAAATTCTTCTACTTTATTGCTCTGTTTGTCATGATAAAGATAATTATTATCAACTGTTATATAATAATATTTATTTTGTATTTACAAGTGTCTGTTTTTACACTGCAGTTATTAAATATCAGTAAATTTCAACTTTTCTTGAAAAATAATATTATTGTCGTAAAAATAATTTTGTAATAATAGATATAAATGCCAATGAATAATATAACAAACTGAGAGATGCGTTAAAGTAATCACTAACAGCAAGACCCTAGACATTTTTTACGAGTCTCTATTTATCTCCGTAATGAAACGCGAAATATCACACGACAGTGTTATTAGAATCGTTCTTGATATCCGGGATGTTATCCCTGCTTGGCAAACAGATTTAAGCTGAGTAAACGCATCGCTCACATTCGTTTGATCAAATAATCGTACAGTACAATTCGCATCCATTAGCTTTCATTAAATATCATTAATCACGGTTATGAAAGTGTGTGTGACAGCTTCATTTAATAATTATCCGGGAGCGGTATTGAGGGATTGTAGTTTCGTAGTACGGCATGCTTAAAGCCGACAAACAACGGAAGCCATTGTTCCCGCTGTATTAGAGATTTACAGGAAAGAAAGTTTGTTTACCTGCGCTATAAGAGCCTTCATTGTTCCGTCATTAATTTCAGTAATTATTCTCGAAAACGTTGATCGCCGCTTTACTTCGATGGATAATCAAATGTTATTAATAATCGCGTTTTCATTTTCAATTTATTAGAAGAGATATCTTGTTATATTTTTTATTACTGTTTCACGCTTCCACAATCTTATTTTTATATTTGTTTGTTATTTTCGCCAAGCTTGTCGACATGCGATCCGATGTTAAAACATAATGTTAAAATGTTTCCCTCTTTCGTATAGTATTAAAGAACCGGTCCGGTTTTAACTTTTCCAATCGATAGACACACAAGCTGGCAAACATCTGTCTTTGTTTGACTTATGTTGTAGTCATAGATAAGATTGGAAGCTCAGCCATCTGTTGCTAAAATCAATTTTCTATCTAGGATCGTGTTATACGTGTATTTATATGCGGCGTCAACAAAATGTTCAGAAAACATGGGCGTGTTATTTAACTTTGTGTCAATCCAGAACTGAATTGCTTTTTATTGCCTTGTTTTTCCTATCCATCACGTTTCACGCGAATTGTTTTCGAACAATATTTGCCGACCAAGTTTTCTGCATTAGCCTTTATGAATCGTATTGTCTGCGCCGAGATCACGGCGAATCATTGGCCGATCATTCGGATGTAAATTGTCCCTCGCATGCGATTGTCATGTCACGAGGGTAGATCCAAGTTCGTTGATCCCGCAGAAACGATAAATATAAATTTCGCTTAGACCCGCAGCTACGGGATCCTAATTTCTCAGCTGGACATCGTCAGTTGTCCTTTTACGAATTCACGTTGCGGGATGCAATAAGTCGACCACCCGTGGACTTATACGATCTGTACGACCCGGGAAGTCCAGACGTCTTTTCGCTTGGATGTGCGAGGCGTTCATCGATAATTGTTACTACTAGTCCATTGTCGACATTTATTTCATTTTCGTTTCGTCGAGAAAGAAATTGCTTTTTGATGATATCGATCGGTCTAAACATTTTTCTAGGTATGTCTTAAGTCGTAAGTCGGTTAGTATTAATTCGGCGTTAGTATGTTCTTTCGTAATGAAATAATTTATATGACGTCCAGTCCACTTTCCGGCGCCGCGCCGCGCCGTTCATTGCTCCGAATAAGCTACGTGACACAGGACAATTTCAGAACGATTTACCCTAAGGGCTTCTCAACTGCGGCGTTCCGGGGTTGAATCATCGGGGGGTAAATTAAAACGAAGACTTATGGAAATGC